TCAAAAGAAGGTAGCCTTTGGAAGGCAGACGTGCAGATGTCATGTGCATCTGAATCCCCACCAGAAGACAGACGTGTTCTTTTTTTGCTTCGAATGGTTGAGAATGGTTCAACGTTCTTTGAGGTTCCAAGCGCCGGTGGTGAATTCGACATCTTCGTCCTTCGTGGTCGAAGAAACTCTGATTCTTTCCTCCCCAAGGCGATGACCACGTGCTCACGCTGTGGGCATTCCTTTGCGCCAGATGCGTCGGGGCAGCCTGGGAGACGGCCGAACCGGGAGGTGGCGCCAAATCTTTGTCTTCTTACACTTCTAGGGTTCATATGAGCGTCGTTCAAAAACCCACATCTACTTTTGAAACAACTTTCTAAGACTGATGACTGATTTTGAACAACCCCCATATGGCTTCCATATAGAGGTGGAAAGATCCGGCATGGCCTATCAATGGGATTCATGTCCGAGATCTTAGGTGTCCAAATCCCTTCACTTTGCACTCCAAAAGCAATTGGCCCGCACCACAGCAATCAAACTTGCGTGCTTTACCAGTCCGTCTGGTCCGCAGCTCGTTGAGCAGGTGGGGAGCTTAAATGGCGAAATAAACCCGATAAATCGCCAGGTCTTGTGAGATGCTCATTTTGTGCTCACCAGGTCCAGATGTTGGTGTGTTTTTAAATCTTTTTTGTAAAGCCGAGTGCAGCTGGGTCTGTTGAACGGCTTGTGGACGGCTCACAAACGTGTTGCCCACCCCACCGTCTCTCCGCGCCTGGGCGTCGGATGCCGGATGTCGTCCTGAGGCATTTGTGTCGCTACTGTGGCCAGAAGCGGGGTGAAGCGACTGAGACGCAACGCGTACGTCGACGACGTCGTCTCCGGACCGACGTCGCGTTCGGAGGTATCCACATGAGTCATGTCTACTATAATACGGAGGCTGCTTATTGATTGGAGGTTAGGGGTGTCTGTGATCCACTTACAAACACCACCCCTTTGTGACTCCCGGCGGGAGCCTCCCTTCTTCGTTATCGGAGAACATGTCCAAAAGATGGGATGGGCCCATGGGCCGCCGGGATTCGATGGAGAACACCCTCAAAACATCTCAAAGCATCTCAAAGCTGCTGAGATCTCGAACGGAGGCCTCACTTCATAGCTTGGTGCTTGTACCAGCTAAAACGGCTTGTCCAACGGCGTAAGAGAAGTGCAACACAAAGTGCAAAGTGTTTTACAATCGTATTCGTTGAGATTCTGAGCCTCACTCAGATCATATCGCATGCGGTTGCTTCAGCGAGCAAGATGCAGACAAGTGAACTGAAATGTTCGCGGGTTCCTTGAAGAATGTGAGAGTTGAGTACAGATCAAACGATGTTTACTTGTTTGCATTAAAATTCATGAAACTTCTGTAGCTCAGTTGTCTCAGTTTCAGGTGACTCCTACTCCTCTTCGTACTGCCTGCAGCACACCAACCGCTGGCGATGACACACCAGCTGCTGGCGTGTCAAGCCCCAAGATGCAGCAGAGGAACCTTTGGTGACCAGTTTCAGGGCGACGAACACTTTCAGCGAACGTTTACACCGGTGGCGCAAGATCGATCTTTTGCTGGATCTCCATCGATGCTTCGGAGATGTTGGGTGCAAAAGGAAGTCAGCAGCCCTACAGAATCCTACAGAGGTAGCCAGTGACCGGGACCATAGGACCCGAGCTACCAGGGGGTACCGAACGTTCGGATCGTCGAACGCTTCGGGTTCTGACCCACCTCTGCTGGGTTTGTCCCGAGGCCTTCGGAGTTCTGCCGCACGGCGCCACCAAGGACCCCAATTGGATGCAGAAAATTTGTTGGATGATGTTGGATGGATCTGTTTGTTGGATACGGTGGAGGGACAAATGGTTAGAGAAATCAATTGAACTTGGAATCACTTTCACAGGTTCTGAGTTCTGAACAGATGTTCAAAGAACCCGAAGACTCGGTCACCTTTTTTTTGTGACTTGCGTTTACTCCCTGTGAGACCTAGTTCAGTTGAAGTTGAAATCTGTGGAAACATACTTCAATAGACCCTCCATTTTTCTTGAAAATGAACACCTCAAAACGTTCGCAGGAGGACCACAACACCCAACGAACGGATTTTCAGACACCGACGAGTCTCAAGAGTGCAGGTTCGATCGACCAAAGATGTGGTGAGGCGTAGTGATCGGCGTCGAAGGCCTGACATGCAAGGGAGGAAGGCTGGGAGGAAAAGCGATCACAGCGGGGGATCAGCGGCTTTTGCCAAACCCAGACACTTCATGTATGGCCTACATACCCACATCGGGGTGGTTGAAACGGGGTCATAAACCGAAACGCATCGGGGTGGTCGGGCATGGAAGAAAGGGGGTGAAGCTTCTGCGCGCCAGTTTTGCCCAGCCCCGGGGAATACTCGGAAAAGGATGGGCACTCCTCGACGACCACAAACAGCGTTTGGATGTCAGTCTTCCCTTTCCAAAGGCGCCATGTGGGTTGATGTGGGTTGCCATGTTTCAAAGACGTAAGCTTGGTGGTGGTGGGTTGGACTGGATGGGCATCCACCTTGAATTGGGACTCTTTTGGAACCCCAACAAGGCCCATGGCAAGGATGGCAGGATTGATCCCCTTCGAAGGATCTCCTGAAGAGGAGTGTTCAGCAAGATGAGGTCTGCCGTCCGATGCCAGTTCGCCATCCGGCCATCCGGCACATGTTCTGGATGAAAGGGAGGGGCGTTTTTTCTGCGACCGCGTGACCTCGGAGGTCCCTACACCCAGCCGAAGCTGCACGCGCCGAGACGAGGCCCTTTTCGGCCAGGTTCCTGCGAAAGAAAGCAATCAATCTTCCCTGAAGGCCAGTACTTAGGCAGTCCATCTTTAACAGACATCGACAGCGGGTCAAAAAGCAGGACTCAAATGTCAAGGCACATGTCCCACCAAGGCACATCCCAAGGAACACTAGTGTTTTTTTTCAAAGGCCGTATGACATTGCAGAACCTATCAGAACCTGGTTGGAGGTCAAGATCAAACATCATCCGTGTTCTGATGCTTGTAGCACATGGCAGCTTGAACGCGCCATGGTTAATTCGTGGCAGGACAAGTTCTTCACGGCTTCAATGGGGTGAGCAGTGACTTTGATGTTTGGATCCTTGGTTAATAACCACGGGACAGTGTTTGAATTAGCACACTTCTGGTGTTGACTTGTCTCAATCTGAACTGCTCTGAACTGCTGATCCATGTTCAGTTTGTTCTTTGGGGTTTGTCCACGTCGATCCAATCCAACAAGATGAAATGCCACTCGAAGAAGTCTTCTCAAGCAAAGCCTCAGGGCCTCAGGGTAGAACTCGCACGGACGCTACAGGCTCCCCACTCTCAGCCGCAGTCCGACAGTTCCACAGATCCGACTCCTCAGATCGACAGGATCGACGTAGACGACGTAGACACGGACCTGTCGCGTGTCGTCCTCAAATCTGCCCGACGCGGCGGGGTGCCGTTTCTGAGGGAAAAACAAACCAGCCGCTGACCGCTCTGCCAGCGTATTTTTTCCGCTCTCCCAAGCTCCAATGCCGTCGACGGTTTGGGAGCGCAGCAAATTGGACGTTTGGGAGGGTTGAACCAAAAGCCTTTAAGAAATGGAGGGGGCTGGAGTTGACCTTTGGTTCAGAAAGGAACAAAGTCCGATTCAGAAACCAAGAATCCGCGATTCAGAAATCAACATTCCGCGATTCAGCAACCAAAAAAACAACGATTCAGCAACCAAATTCACAGTAGGTTAGGTGGGGTGGTGGTATGGGGCTGGTGTAATTAGTAATGCTGGGAGATGGCAGCTGGGTACTGAATCACAGTAGGTTAGGTGGGGTGGTGGGATGGGGCTGGGGTAATAACGTTCCTGAAAGATGGCACCTGGGTACTGAATCACAGTAGGTTGGGTGGGGTGTTGTGGGGCAATAACGTTCCTGGGAGATGGCAGCTGGGTACTGAATCACAGTAGGATGGGTGGGGTGGGCGGGGGCAATAACGGTCCTGGCACATGTAGTGACCGTGCAAAACAAGGGCAGTTGGGTTCTGAATCACAGTAGGTTAGGTGGGGTGGTGGGATGGGGCTGGGGTAATAACGTTCCTGGGAGATGGCACCTGGGTACTGAATCACAGTAGGTTGAGTGGGGTGGTGGGATGGGGCTGGGGCAATAACGCTCGTGGGAGATGGCAGCTGGGTACTGAATCACAGTAGGTTGGGTGGGGTGGTGGGATGGGGCTGGGGCAA